CCCCATGTTGCTGACATGTTGCAGCGACATTAACTGTAGGTGACCTTGCTCAAGGACCAAGGCAGATTAGGGTGTTCCCGGTTTTAAGATAATCGTGTTTAGGGCGTTCCCAGTTTAGGTTCCAGGTTTAAGGTTTAAGATTATTCCTGCTGGGAATAGGGCGTATCCTGCTGCCTGAGTTCCCCTTGAGTTCTCACGTGATTCAGACAGTATATTTTGGAGATAGAAGCCCAGTGGAGGGGAACTTGGGCAGAGAACGTGGATTTGGGCAGAGAACGTGGATTTGGGCAGAGAACGTGGATTTCCCCAGAACGTGATTGTAGACGGCTGGTGTGAGTTCGGGAATAAAGAGTTGCTGTTTGAATCTACAAGCTGTGTGGTGGCTCGTGATTGTGTGCCCAGCCAGACTGCGGCAGAAATCTACAAGTGGAATTTAGAACTTAGCAAGTTTAGCAATCTCAATATACAAAAATCACTTGCAGTATGTTCTTTATACTGAAAGCAATCAATTAGGAATTACAATATTTACAAGCAAGTGCATTTACAATGACTTAAAAACATGAATACTCATGAGTAAATTTGTCAAAAACTTGTAAGACCTCTAAACTGAAAACAGAAACATTGCTGAGATACATTTAAAAAGAACTAAATAAATTGAGAAATATAGATTATAGATCGGAAGATTTTTTTAATAAGAAAAATGTCAGTTCACCTTAAATTCATCCACTAATTCAATACAATTACAATTTAAAAATCCAACATATTTTAGAATTGGCAAGTTGATTTAAAAAAAATTAATCTTGGCAAGTTGATTTTAAAACCTTCTTAGTTTTAAAAAATTAAATTTGGCAAGTTGATTTTAAAACCTTAGAAATGCAAAGAATCTAAAACATCTAAAGATAATTTTAAAAGACATGCAAATTTGGAAAGTCATGCCATCTGATACACAGATATCCTATAAAACTATAGCAGTTAAGACAACATAGTGTTATTGACTTAAGGACAAATAGAGTAATGGCACACAATACAAAGTCTGGAATTAGACTCACTCACATGTATATTTCATTAATTAGTTTACAAAGTTGACAAATCAATTCCATGTGAAAAGGAAAATCTTTTCAACAAATGCTTCCAGAACAAATGAATAAATATATGGAGAAAAAAAACCCTCTTATTCCCTGTACAAAATTTAGTTTTATTTTAATGTAAACACAAAAATTTCATATACTTGACCTATATGTGATAGATAAAAACATTAAAGTTTAAACTATAAAATATGTTCATTTTTTAACCTTTTTAACCTCTTCTCAGTCTGGTGTCAGCTTTTCAAGTTGGGGGTAGGCAAAGATTTCTTAGGACTCAGTGTGCACTAATCATAAGAGAAAAATAATTAAAAGTTTCTACTAATCTAAAGACAGTAAGAAATTAAGCTGGGAGAAAATATTGGTAACACATATATCGGAGAAAAACACTTGTGTCCAGAATATATGAAGAACCACAAATCAATACTAAAAGACAAACAAGCCAATAAATGGGCAAAGACTTGAACAGTCACTTCTCCAAAGAAGATACACGATTATCAGCAATCAATCAAAAGGGTGCTTGAGTACACAACAGATATCAAGAAAATGAAAATTGGAAACCATCATGAAATGCACCCATTAGAATGGATAAAAAGGATTGGCAGCAGCAAATGTTGAAGTGGAAGCAGAGCTACTGGAATATAAAATACAAAATTACTTTGGAAAACTGAAATTTTAAAAAATAAAGTTAAGCACATGATCCAGCAATTCCATTCCTTACTATCTAAGAGGAGTGAAAGAATATGTCTACAAAAAAAAAAAAAAAACTTTTACAAAATATTTATGGTAGCATGATTAATAACCAACCCAGCAACTTAAATATCCATCATTAGGAGAACAGACGAGTGAGATATGATATATTCATACAACCACTCAAACATCAAAAGAATGAACTACCTATACACACAACATAGATAAATATCAAAAACATTACATTAAACGAGACAAGCTAAAGACAAAAAAGTAAGTTCGGTTTGATTCCATTTATATGAAGTTCAAGGAAAGACAGAACTTAACTAGAAAGAGAGAAATCAGAGCAGTCATTTCTTGGTAGGTGGATCAACCAGAAGGAGGTAGCAGCAGAGCGACAGCAGTGTTGATTTTACAAGTGCACACATTTGTCAGAACTCATCAAACTGTGTGCTGCAGATCTGTGCATTTCTCTACAAATAATTTCACCTCCACAAAAATCAATGAATAGTACACTTAGCGACTCTTATAAATCATTCATTAGCACAAATAGTCAGGGATTGACCTCAGATATATTTAGAATCTGATATCTCAACCACAAGCCAAGAAAGTTTCTAAACACGTAAATTTGAAAAGGGTCAGACCAATTGTCTTTGAGGCCCTTAGAAACTCTTTCATATGTAGAGGTCTCTTCTTCTAGATAAGGCCATGGAAACTTCCAGAGTCATCATCAATTAGCCTAAGTATCCAAGGAGATCCTGTGGGGACGAGGGGAAGTTCCAGAACTTCCTACTTTCCCCACCCTTTCTTTCATAAAAGAATGTATTCAGGAATTGAACACAAACTTCCAGACCTATAGCAACCAATAAAGAGTTTGTCTGCAATACTTAACCCTGAAAGGCTGAGTTAGTCAGCTTTTGGAAACTGTGACCAAAATACCCCACCAGGACAACTTACAGGAGGAAGTTTGCTTGGTTCACAGTTTCAGGGGTTCAGTCCATGGTGGGTCAGCTCCATTGCTCTGGGTGAGGCAGAATATCCTGGCAGAAATGGAGTGCTGGAGGGAAGCTGCTTACCTCATGGAGGCCAAGGAGCAGGGGGGTAAGGGACTATAGGGAAGGAGCACCCTTCCAAGGAATGCACCAGGTGCCCCCCTCCTCCTGCCACACCCCACCTGCCCACAGTTACCACCAGTCCATTTAAACTAGAGAGACAAACTAGAGCGAGAAGCTTACAGTTCCTCATGATCCAAACTGTTTCACCTCTGAATATCCCTGCACTAACACCGGAGCTTTTGGGGGACACCTCAGATCCACATCATAATAAAGGCCTTTCCCAGGGTCTTCCAAACATCCTGTGAAGTAAGTGGGAGCTAGATAAATGTTGGGGGAGGTAGCCCTGGAGGTTTGGTTTTTAAAAATTTAATAGGAATAAAATATGTTCATTTTTTAACCTCTTCTCAGTCTGGTGTCATTAAAGAAATAGCACTATAACATCCAAAAACAAATGAAAAATAATAAGTACAGACATCTTTCAGAAAGATAATGAAGGAGAATTCCACTAACTATGACTCAACAGAGGGTCTTTGAAGACTCTTTATATAATAATCATTTTTTTCACAACACAGCAAGACAGCTGCCCTCATTCTTCCGTTTAACTCACTAAAAACTCTGATAATTCTTTCTCAAAAATTGACCAACAAGGGCTTTTGTCCACCCTTGCTCTTATCTTTCCAGTCCTGCCCTTGCTTCTACCAGAGGCTCTGAATTGTTAACATAAATCATTCCACCCTCCCATCGCCTCCTGTTCTCAGCTCTCCCTATCCCCAGCTCCCACCACCATGATTCTGGAAGCTCAGAAGAAAAACAGAATTTTCTTTAGAAGGTGGGAAGGAGAATATTTTCCTCCCTTAATTTTTTAGTATTGGCACCATTTTGGATTTAGATGCCATTTTCTCTTCTGAGAGTAAAGCATTCAGTGCCTGAGGAGTGGAGGAAAACCTGAGATTACTAACGTGGGGGTAGAAGGTGGTGGTGCTCTGAGGTCTCAGAGCTTGGATTACGGGGCTCCTGGGAGGAGAATCTTTCCTCAGGCTCCCAGGCACATCAATGTGGCCTTGCCTCTAAGCTTTCCGGCATTTCATGTGAGCAGAGGGGAAAAAGACACAGCCAGCAGTTATTAATGCTGATAATCCCAAGGTTTGTGCCTGGAATGTCCTCTAAGAGAGAACTAAACTGAACTCTTCTGATGTTGAACACGACACATCCTGTGTCAGAGTCTTGCTGCGGAAGATGGTTTGAAAACCTCAGGCAGAATTTCTTGTTCCTACCCTCGCTACATGGCTCCTCCATCACATCCCTGAAATACCATCATGGATGTAACTTTCCTTGGGATATTTGTGGATTTCTTGCCTCTGTGACTTCCCTGCACAACTGAAATGCACCCTGTAGGAGCTTTTAGTTTATTCAGCTAATACTTTGGCAAAAACTAGTGAGAGTGACAGAGCCACCTTCCTCTGGACTGTAGCACAGAGCAGGTGCAGAAGAATGGTGGGTAAAGGTTAGGGACTCTCGGGGACTCTTCTCTTTCTGTCACTGAGACTCAGCTTCACTTCTCCATGCCTGTTCAAGTTAGGAAAAAGCACTCATTGTCCTCTAGTCACAGATGACCAAAACAGCATAACCACGAAAAAATAGCAGCAGAGTTAGGAAATCAAACCAGCTTTTCTAACTCAGTCATCTTCTCTCTCCTTTCAAGTTTTAGACCAATACTATCAACCACTTGCCATTATTCCCAGAGGGACAAATGTGCAGTTTTTACTTTTTGGATTTCAAAAGAGAGATCAAAAAATAAAAAACTAATAATATGATAAGAGATCACCTTTGCCTTTGGTATTATTTGCTTCTCTTCCTGCACAGGGACCCTGTTAGAAGATTAAGGACAGCAGAAGCAAATCTATGCTTCTTCTGTGATGTCGAGTTGCCATATCCTTTATTGGGCTTTGCCCTATGCCCTCAACTCCACTCCCCCAAACTAAAAGCTGTCCCTTATTTTTTAGAAAAGAACCAGAACTAAAATTAATGTTGCCCTGGGATATTTTGGTTTCCCTTGAGTTAACCAGAAATACCAACTCTTGAAGGCCACTTGGGGGACAGTCAGTCATTTGATCATCAGGATGATGCCACCGTTGCAGAGTGACTTGGGAGCTGGCTGCTCTACACCCAGCAGGACCGACACCGAGGTTGTTCACAGCAGTGCATATACAAGTCACCTGCTGGTCCTGTGTGTCGGGATCTGGGGGGAAGGTGAGGGGCTAAGAACAATTTCTAACAAGCTGCTAAGCGTTGCTGGGGTTGCCCATCCACTTAGAGTAGCAGGGGTCTAGAGAGAGCCCCTGGCTGGTGCTTCTCATCATCTACCTGTCCCTCCCAAGCCCTCCAGAGCATAGTGAGCAAGTACCACAGCACTGCTGGGTTTCTTCCAGAGCAGCCAGTACACAAGCCCTTGACTCAGAACCCAACATGGTGATTGGAGAAAAGGTGGGTGGGTGAGAAGCATTTGTGGGCTAGGTGATGTTTTTTGTTGTTTTTCTCTGATGTTCAAAACCAGGAGAACTCATCTGGCCCTTGTGGCCACGGGTGAGTGACATGAAAGAAAAAGAAAAGGAAGGGGCTTCCAAAGGATGTGGACTGAGTGTAAGATAAGATTCTTTGCTTTTCAGGTGAATCAAGGTCAAGTTGTTTTGCCCATAGCCAAGTCAGCACTGAGAAAATGACTTCATCTTTGTGCCTCTCTTCTTTTCCACCTCTCTAACACAGATTGAGGATGAAGATGAGAATAATTCACTGAGCCCAGACATGGCTAAGCCTTACAAGGGACACAGGAGTACATCAAGAGCTTGGGCCACCTGATAAAGAAATGGTCTGGTTGTTACCCCAAAATCCCTCTTCTGTATCAGATCCAATGAGAACTCCGAAGATAAAGTCAAAATTGTTTCCCATATTCTTGAACAAAATCAGTGTTTGGGCCTTATAGAAAGTAAGTGTTTTGGGTGCAAAGTAAAATACCCCAGAACATGTTGACTATATCTTTTAAATAGGACCAAAAGAATCTGAGAACTGGGAGACACTTAGGTAAGGAAACTGAAGCTGTGGTCATTCCATGAGTTTGTGGTAAGCCTGAGATTACAGCCACATCCCTTGACTCCAAGTTCAGAGATTTCCCATTTTGGAGAGCCTTAATCTGTGTGTGTGTGCTTTACACACACACACACACACACACACACACACCAATTGAAGGTTCTCTCTCACTGAGAGGTATCTCAACTATATCAACTATCCCAGTACTGAGAGGTGTTTGTGTAATCTTGTGGTTTTGTTCAGATCATTATCTTTGCAGAAGTCAGAGAGCTCAGACCCTCTGTTTGGGGTTATTTGTATAATATGAACCGTGATGCTTGATCCCTGCCTGGTCTTGCTGCAGCTCTGGAAGGTAGACAGTGCCATCGACACTTTCCCTGCCAGGAGATTGAGGTCCAGAGACCCTGAGTTGCCTAAACCACACAGCTCCAGGTGGTGGGGCAGGAGTCATGTGAAAGTCTACTACTGTTGCCCTCGTTTTTTGCTTTTTAAAATATCTCACTTTTACTTTTAGGAAACTCTTTCCAATACCCAATATAATTGTATCGAGAAGCAGCAAGTACAAAGAGGACAGAAGTATAAATCTATAATTATCTCGAAACACGAGGTCGAACACTCCACTCTCTTACTATCTCTGTGTCTCTTAGTGACCCTTATCCTCTGAGTCACTGGAGCTTGACTCTGCAGCATCTGCTTTAATTCCATTCTCTGCCCCCCAACATCCAGCCAACTCCCCAGAGTCATAATTTCTACCTCAACACCACTCACCCTCATCTCCACGGACTTTCAAGACCCGCCTCAGCCCCTGTGACAGCCCAGCGGCCATCTGCCATCTGCCCTGGCAACAGCATTCTACCACTTCTCTCTGCCTCTCTTCTCTCCACCCCTCCAATACCTCTTTAAAAATACTATCAAATCAAGCTGGTAGCAGTGGCACATGCCTGTCCACCCAGCTATTCAGGAGGCTGAAGCAGGAGGATCTCAAACTCAAGGCCAACCTCGGCTACTTAGCCAGACCCTGTCTCAGAATTAGCAAGCAATAAATAAGTAAGTAAGTAAATAAGTAAATAAGGGCTTGGCATCTAGCTTGGTAATAAAGCACCCCTGGGCTTAATGCCCAGTGCCACCAAAAACCAAAATCAAAACAAACAAAAAACCGCTGCAAAAGCAAGGACCCTATGCACAGAACTGACTGTACCAGGGGCCTAATAAGGAGCCAAGTGATGAAGTCTAATGTGTCCTCCATCTTTGTGATTTATTTATACCATGAATAGCAAAACTCCCTTCACTCTCTTTTGATCTAGGAAATGTTTCGTCTAATATATGCTAAGTTTTTGCAAGAGGTAATGACTATATTTTGGGTATCAAGTTGTCAATCAAATAGTAGATGGCATATTCCTCTGAACCGTCAACCAGCCATGTGACTGGAACTCCTCAGACACCCCAAGTCATTGCCTTTTGCCCTGTTAATTTGTTATTCTGCACCTCTGGACATGGGACCCCTGTTGGAAATACTGCCCCTGCCCAGGATCCAGGTAAAAGAATGAGGGCTGTCCCTGACGTGGCAGAGGGGGCAGGACAGGCCGTCCTAGCAGAGGGGATGTATGAAATAGAATGCTGTGTTCAGGAGACTATAATTAGGATCTTTTGCTGGAGCATGAATTGTAAGGGTATGAATATAAAAAAAAAATGTGAGCATCAGTTGAAACAATGTAAGCGAAATTGAAATCTATAACATGCCCCACAAATCTTAACAGTCTCTACAATAACTTTTTGAGTAGTGTTGTTTTGTACAACCAAGTGATAAAATGTGTAGTTATTTTGTGAGCTGGAAAGAAATATTGAAAAAATGTTATTACTTTAAAGCCCGACTGTCTCAGAACCAGGAAATAGAGTTTCTCTTGAATTCATATTCTAAGAACTATTTATGAGAATTCTGAATTAGTTTTTTTCCTCTGGCCTATATTCACATTTGTAGATTATAATGGATTTAAAATCTACTAAATTATGGTAAATTCGTGGTTTAGTTTCTGTACTTTGAGTTATTTGGGTTGTTGGTTGCCCAGATCACCAATTATTTATTTAAACTATTTTGCATACGTTATGTTACATATATGCAACTTTTTCATTATTTTCTTAGCCACTGTTGCATCACTTCTTACTTTCTGATACACTGTCATAGTAACTGTCCACTTTGCCCTTGTCTCTCTTTTCTTGAACCCATCTTTTTTTTTTTTAAATACTGAAAGGCTAAGTAGTATCTTTGGATTTTCCTCATTCCAATTAACTTTAAAAGGACCTAAATGATTGGTGACCTGATAAAACTGGTAACAGATAAGATGTATAGCTTTTGGGAAAAGAAAGACAAAATAATCATTGTGTGTGAGCAGTTTAAATAGGTACTTAGAAAACCTAAGACAGGTAAGGTATTAGAACTATCAAGAGTTTGGCAGGGTAGCCAAATACAAAATCAGTTTATAAAATTCAACATTTTCTTTATTTGGAGAATAGCCAAGCAGAAAATGTAATGGAAAATGATCACATTTTAAAATGATTTTTGATCCTTGGTTACAAGCAATGTGATAAACTCCAAACAGTGGATCTGAGAACTGGGAGAAACATTAATTACCTGTGGACTTGGAAAGTTAAGACCATTTTGGAGATCTTTAAAGAAGGCTTAATTCTAGGGCTGGAGTCATAGCTCAGTGGTAGAGTGCTTGCCTAGCATGTATGAGGTCCTGGGTTCGATTCTCAGCACTGCATATAAAACTAAAACTAAAAAAAAAAAAAAATTTTTAAAGAAGGCTTAATTCTAAAAGTAGAATTAAAATGTATAACTTGCAAACCAGTAGAAGGAAAGAAATCAAAAGAAACTCAATTGATTCAATACAAAAGAAGATAAAGACAACAAAAAATAAAGGTTAATGAAATTCCAAAAAAGATAACATGACTAGTTCAAATATGATGCAATAAATGTAAATGGATTAAACTTATAAAATTCAGAGCTATTCAAATTGAGGGAAAAAGCCCCTCTATATCCCCTCCACCCTGCAATAAAACCCCACCAAAGTCCAGTCTTTAGTATTGTAAGAGCTCTTTAAAATATGATAACATGTGAAGTTTGAACTAAAGGGTTGAAAGATACATTCCATGTAACTATTTATCCAAAGAAATTTCTGAAACTACATTAACATAAGAGAAACTAGACTGGGATCAGGGTATAGCTCAGTGGTAGTACATGTGTTTAGCATATGCTACATCCTAGGTTTGATCCCCAGCCAAGAGAGGGGTAGGGGGAGAAAGAGAGAGAGGCAGGGGGTGGGGAGAGAAGGAGAACAAAACTAGACAAAAACCATTTTCACAGTTAAAAATCATGAGAAGTTATAATAATATTAAACCTATATGTTATGTCTTGGTCCATTTTCTGTTACTATAATAAAATAATAATGATTAAGAATAAAGACAGCAGACACAAAGAAACAATATTATAAACAAAAGGGATGAATAGAAATTTAAAAGAAAATAAAAGACCACTGTGAAAATATATATTGTCAATACATTTAAAAACAGATGAAATGGGCAACTACAAAACCATAGATAAATCAGTAAATAGATTCAGGAAGAAAAAATTGATTCAAAAAGAAGTAGAATGAATTGTAACCAATAAAGTAATTAAATCAATAATTAAAAATTATTAAAACATACAAAGTAAGTTTTACCTAAAATATCATTTGTTTTATAAAAACTATTTCAGAACAGTAAAATTAAAAAGAGAGAAGTCTCCCCAGTTCTTTTTGCAGAGTTAGTTTAATCTTTCTATGAATTGGATTAGACTATAGACAAAAGGACACTATAGGACAGTCTCACTTATGAAAATAGATGCCAGGCTATTGAATAAAATAATTGCCCTGATTCTATCAATATATTAAGAAGAAAATAATATTCTGATCAATTTGAATTTATCCCAGCAATTATGAATGGTTTAGGGTGGAAAGTCTCTTGATGTAACTCATTACTTTTACTATCTGAAGGAGGAAAATCATGTAATAATTTTGATAATAAGGGGCATCTAATGATGACTAAAAGAATAGCCATTAATGATTAAAAGAAAAAAATCTTTTAAGGTATTAGAAATAAAAGGGAAGTTTCTTAAACAACTTAAGAGAAAGATTGGGGATATAGCTCAGTGATAGAGTACTTACCTAGCAAGCCTGAGGCCCTGAGTTCAATACCCAGTATTGCAAAAAAAAAGAGTTCTAAAGGGAAGACACTCCAATTTACAGAAAATTATACTTTAAAATCTATTTAATGTCAGAAATGTGGCAGAAATATACATAATCTCTACTTTTATTCAAATGTGTTGCATGGATTAACTAATTCAATAAAACACGTGAAAAAATATAATGAGTTGATGAAACTGTTGTTTGTAAGTAATAATGGCATCAACTTAGAAGATCCAAAAATCTACAGGCAATTACCCAAAGAATTAGTATCCAGAATATACAAAGAACTCTTACAAATCAATAAGTAAAAAAGCAACAACCCAGTAAAAAAGGATAAAGATTATAAAAAAGCAATCATGTAAATAATAACTTTGTGATAGCATGCTCTTTATCACCAGGAATCATGGAAACTTGAGACAACAATGAGACTTCATAGTATTCTACCAGATTGGCAAAAATGTTAAGATTTTGCAATGCTAATGATAATGAGGATTATGTGAGGAAATCAGAAAATCTCATAAATTGCTGGTGGGACTGTAAAATAGCATAGTTGTTTCAAAGAGAAATTTAAAAATATGGTAGTAAGATTGAAGCTGTCCATGTTCTACAATGAGCAATCTCTTTTCTAGGCAAAATTCCTAGGGAAATTTTTGTACATGTGCATATATTCAAGGCTATTCATTAGTGCACTGCTTATAATAGGAAAAAAAATCAAGAAGGCATTAGATTAATGAACTCTGGCATAATCAGAAAATAGAATCATAATTAAATGCATAAACAAGCATTGCTAAGAGCAGATTTCAAAAACAAGTTTAAGTAAAAATTTGTTAAGTGAAAAAACAAGTTTCAAAAGGAAGTTTACTATTAATATATATTGAAAAACAAAAATAAAATGAAATTAAAAAAAACAGTAGTGCACATTGCATTAGGGGGTACCTCTCAAGCTCGAGAACAAAATGAACATAAAGTAACCAAGGTCAACTATAAACATTCATTGAATCCTGAGGATGGATATTTGATAGCTATATTAATCTTAGGGCTTTTCTGTATTGTTTGAAGTTTTACTAATTTTAAATTATATATAGAACAAATAAGTTTTTTATGTCAACCTAATTCTTTGCTGAAGCCTCTTCCTAAGGCAAACACAAACTCAGGGCCTTTTTCTTTCTTTTGTGGATCTGACCATTGACAGAGGAGGAAAATGGCTTTCCCCCAGTCCAGGGCCCTCTATGCAGCAGGAGTGTTGGACTCCCAATTTTATTTCTCAAACCAACTGTCTCCATCATTGCTCTCAGCTCTCAGTAGTTGAATTCAACAAGAGGATTAAGACTAAAACATCTTTCTGGAGGTGTAAAAGGACTTTGAGAATAGCATAATTACAGCAATATGAAAATTTATATATGCATTGGACCAGAACAACAAAAAAAATGGGATAGTACAAAATACAAGTGGTGGTTTGGGAACTTCAGATCTTACCCACTGCCCTCCATTGTTTTTGGCTAGATGGGCACCCAAGAGCAGCCCGTAAGCTTTGTTTAGCTTCTTAGCTCCCTTGCAATGAATTGTGGTAGGCACTGAGCGAATATTTGGGTGTTTCAGCACTGGTGTTGGTGATATTATCTATAAAGAATACCTGTGGAGAACACCTGTGCAGAGATGAACAAAAGGACAGACAGAGGCCAGGTAGGGGTAGGCAGACAAGGTGGAGCGGAGGGGGAAGAAGCAGCGAGGAGGAAGTGAAGAGGGAGAAGAAGTGTAGGTAGACGTGAAGTGTCCACTCCTCCCTCCTGCCGAGTTTATTAACTCAAAAAAAGTTACAAACCACCATTACCATGACCACATCCTCATTAGTATTTCATTAAGCCCAAGTGCTAGCTAACGGAGATAAGGTCCCGGTTAGTACAAACACAGAGCCCCTTCTCTCCAAGGACATTGCTAAGGAAACCAGATAATGCACCTGCATAGTTATCTTAGTAGCTTCAAGGAGGGGAAACTTGCTGGGCATTCCTAGCCTGGAGAAACAGGGTAAACGTGTGAAGAATGTTGCTATGGCAACTGGGCATCCCGTGCTTTTGCACAGGAGTTTCCCAGTAGCCAGGTATATCCTAGCAGCCAGGCATTCTGTGTCTTTGCATAGAAACTTCCTAGTTACCAAGCATGTCACAATCACAAAGTTTGTCAGAGACCCCAATCCCAAACACAGAACTCCCACAATTACCCATCAATTTATTTATTCAAACAATTATCCACCTTTGACTTTTTTGCTTTATTTTAATTTCTTTCTTTCTTTCTTTCTTTTTTTTTTTTTTTTGGTGTGTGTGTGTTTGGTACTGGGGATGGAACCCAGGGCCCTGGGCATACTAAGCAAGTGCCCTCCCACTGAGCTACATCCCCCAGTGGGAGGATCCCTCTTTGCCCTTTCATTCCAGCAGTATAAACACTGTGGAAACTGAGGCAGAAGTGAGGTGCCATGTTATAAGGATAATTATTTTCTTTTAAGGGGATTTAAAGAAAGTTACTGTCATCAAAGAAAAGGTGCCTGATTCTCTGGTGGGAGAGGGGATGTCATGTGTTCGGGGCAGGTGATCTCAAGGCCACCGGGCATGGGTTTCTCCCTTAATTACCCCTGCTCATCTGTGAGTTATTTGTGTTATCTGACCCACAGTTTCTGCAGCCTGGCTTCCCCTGACCGTGTCAAATGGTCAGAGTTCCCACAAGCCAAGAATGAGTGACTCATGGCTCAGACCCTTTTGGAAAAAAATCAGTACTTGTTATAAAAACAAACAATAAAAAACCCCAAACTATGGGTTAGGGGATCTAGTTATTTTCTCTTTACTTTGAAAAGGAAAAAGGAGGGCTGGGGATGTAGCTCAGTTGGTAGAGTGCTTGCCTTGAAGTGAACAAGGTCCTGGGTTCAATCCCCAGCACCCCCAAACAACAACAACAACAAACCCTCCCAAAACAAACAACAACAACAACAACAAAGGAAACAGGGAACCAGAAGTATCCCTCCACTCAGCTGTCTCTGAGCTGTCTCTGAGCTGTCTCTGAGCTGTCTCTGAGCTGTCTCTGAGCTGTGTCATCTTGGGGGTCTCAAATGCTTCAGGAAGGAATGGTGAGGAGCTGGTTATTTCCTCACCCTCGAGTCGGTGACAGGCTTCCATGCCTGAGTTAACCACAGGCTTACCACTGAATGTCAACCTGATTAAAATTAAAGTGTCATCAGATAAGAATAACAAGGTTGTGGGGGAGGGGGAAGAAATAACACTCTGCTCTTTCTCCGAAATCTGAAAGCAGTTTTCCCTCAAATCGTTGAAACCAATTTCTTGGGACAGAGTCATATTTTTAGTAGAAATATGCTAAATTGGTGAATCCCACCCACAGTCTTCTGCAAAGAGACAGTCTTCTGAGAAACTAGACCATATTGCTAAGGAGATTTTGAACTGGATATCAATGGGATTTCCCCTGAGATTTTAAAGAAAGACCCTGTAAGTCAGTATAATGTGGGGTAGAGACTGCAGACCAGAGAAGGGAAACAGAAAGAAGGAAAAAAAAATCTTAAAGACATGGGAAATGACAGGGACCCAGGGCAATGATGCCAACACTGCTCCTCAGAACTGTGGCCCAGGCGGACCGGTGTCAGACAGGGTGTGTCATGTTGACGTGTCAGTAGGCCACAACCACATGACCACACCCAAGATGCCCGTTCTCAGCCACACTTGCGCTCTGCCTGCTTCTGAGATGGTGCCTCCTGTGTTCCCTTTCCTTCCCGCCATCAAGAATTCACACTCCATTTTAAGCAAGATCCAGGTTGTTCACACTACACATTTTGATAGGTTCAAACCCTTTCATGGAGAGTGACATGGAAGCATAGCCATAGATTATGGTACAGGGGAAGCACTGATTTGGGCTCCAAGTCCTGGGTGTTTCATATGCTGCCCTGATTTGCTGGTCTACTGTGGTTTTGCTTGCGATGGGTTCAATATAGACCAATGGCACTTGTGCGTACTCCACAAACCCCAGGTATTGACACTCCATAAGGAAGCGAAGCATAGCCAATTTCAGGTGTGGGTAGATGGATGCGGTTGAGCTGGGAGAAGATTATGCTAAGACCACAGGTTAAATGGAATCAAAAGCCCTTTCTTGTTCTCCAAGGACTGGCCTCAGAAAACCAAAATCATCCAAAAGGCATTTACTGAGGGGTCTATGTATTTAGAGTGGGCTGGTGGAAATTCTACCTGCTGCTCTGTCCTGCTCCCCATGTCTTGCAGAAAGGAAGCTCAGCCTTCCCCTTCCCCAGAGTTTTCTTTAAAGTGTTGGCTCTAAAATATTTCTACCTTGCATAAGTTCTTACTTAACACACAAAATCTAGGTCTCTGACGGTTTTAGTCAGTAGGTGCTATTTTTCTAACAGACACAGTGTGTGACTGCAGACTGCTCCTGTATTATACTTTGGATCTGAAATGTTCCTCAAAAGTCTTACCTGTTGAAGACTTGGGTCCTGAGATGGTGGTGCTATCAGGAGGTGGTGGAAACTTTAAGACATGGGGCTTAGTTTCAGGAAACAGGTCACTGGAGATATGCCCTTGAAGGGTGTGTTGTCCTCGGTCCCTTCCTCTCCCCGCTTCCCACCTCTCTCTGTCTTCTTTCTTGCTGCCATGAGATAGGCAGTTTTGCCCTCCCACATGCTCTCTGCCATGATGTTCTGCTTTGTTAAAGGCCCAAAGTGAAAGGGTCAAATGATCATAGACTGCAAGTTCTAGCATTGTGAGCCAAAATAAATCTTTTCTCTTCTAAGCTGATTTTCTCAGGTATTTTGTCATAGCAATGGAAGCTGACTATAACATACTGCAATAAGCATTAACATTGGGCTTCTTCTGGAAGTGACCAAGGTGGCCACATCTTCCAAGTACATGGGAATTTAAGACACAGGACAAGAGCTGCTTTCCCACTGGGAAGCTAAATGTCTTCCTCAGTGTGGTGTTGAGATATTGCTTTTTACTCAGCAAGTATTTATTAAACCATAGAAAGTTAGGACTGCCAGGGGTCTTAAAGACACTTGATAGCCATCTTATCACTTGCCTGGAGAAAGTGCACACTTTGTCTAAGGCCTCTCAAGTTCTTGGGTGCATTATGTATTTTTCAGCATGGTGGTAACCGAGTGAAGAAACCTGGCCTAGATCACTTGTTGACCTGCTAGAAGGGACAGTCGGGCAGTGCATGAGTTCACTATCACACTGACAGCATTCTGTCCCAATCTCATACTCTGCACAGTACCCAGTGCAACCAGACCAGGAGCTGGATAAGCCAAAGGGAGACAAGAGGCTGAGAAGGGCAGGTGTGTCACCCAGGGGGGTCAGGTGTCTCAGCACCTGGGGAAAGCTCAGGCGCCAACCTTGCTCTGAAGCTTTTGAGAAACTGATAGTAACAATCGTATGAGCTGAGACTCAGCACGTGCTGCATGCCAAGCACTGTGTGGGGCATCCCCTCTCCCATCTTCACGGCCACCAAGGGATGAGGTGTTGCTAATGTTAGTGACAATTAACATTACTATTATTTAAGGTTATATTATGAATCACAATGAAAATATATCATAAGTAAAATATATTATGATAAAATTAATGCAGTTTGCATTACATTACATATCCCAGAAATGTATAGATATATAATGATTAATTAAGATATGTAAATTACTATGGTATAATAATTAAAATAATTGTTATTTTATGTTATATCTTATACTGTAGTGAAATATAATGAAATATATAAATATAAAATATGTGTAGTATAATAATCAACACTATTATATAAGAAAATATAAATATGCAGTAAGTAATTAAAATATATCATAAGCTACCATAGCATAACATCTGTATAATTACATGCAATGATAATTAGGCAAGGCATTCTTCTTTTCTTTGTTTTACAGACAAAGGAACCAAGGCACAGAGAGATTCAGTGACTTTCCCAGAGTCACACAGCCCAGCGATAGTGGAGGGAGCCAGGATTTGGACAGCTGTGCGCACTCTAATTCTCCCATTGTGGGCTGGCTGCACCCTGTTCCTGTGGCCACTGTGACCTCTGACCTTCTACTGCCACGTCTCTGTTCCGCAGCATGCGAATCCTGGGACTTGGGTGGTGATGGGTGAGGAGGAAGAGAGGTTGTTAATGTTAAGAAATTTTAATCCTTGGATCTCCAGGATTTGGGGCTTGGTTGGCTGCCAGGAGGAGGGAAAGGGAAGAAATGGGATTTTGCCCAGGATTCCCGGTGGATAGCATTCATTGAAAAAGGAAACGGAGGAGACAGGGAAGCCTGGGGCCATGATTCTGTACAAGTTTGAGCAGCTGGTGAGCATCCACGCAGAAAGGCTGAGGGCCTTTGGCATGTGAACTCTAAGTCCAGTGAGTCGTGTCTACTGGGCCACTTGGGCCCACACCCTAGTCACCTTAGGCAACCAACAGAAACTGAGCTGCACAAAGGCTAAGTACTGGCCCACCATCAGTCCCCACCTTGGTCGCTCATGACCCTTTGAGCTTGCCCCTTGGGCCTCCATCACGTCTGCCTTCCATCACTCTCCACATGGAGCCCAGTGCTGTTTCTCTGAAGCATAAATCCTGCTGTCCCTTGCCTTGGCCCCTCTCCTGCTGCCATCTCACCCCTCTCGCATGGCAAGGCTCCATATCACTGCACATGCCCAGCCTCAACAGCCTCCACCTCCCGCCACATGCCTCAAATCTTCAGCTTTGTGCAAGTATGGCAGCTCTTGGAACTCACTGTGTCTTTTGTCTTTCCTTGGCCTTCCTCATTGTTCCAGTGAAACAGAACCATTAAGCTGCTCCTAGCTTCAACATGTTTTTTGAGAAACTGCACACAAAGTCATCCTGGCCGTGCTCTGGTTTAGGATAAAGCTGATGACAAACAACATATTATACCCAGGACTGAAAAGTTTTGCTGGAAGCTGTCCCCAAATAAGGGAAGAGAGAGTGCTCTGCCTTGAGACTAGAGAGCTCAGTGGCTTCAAGGTCTGTGAAATCAAATTCCAGGTAAAATCAGCAGGCAAAAGCCAGGATGATCAAAGTTGCCTTTAGGTCCTTGACATATTATTTTTTCACCCCTGAGACACTCATGAGTTAGATGCAACAGGGATTTAGAAGTCTGATGTAATCTGTCAATCAGGAGCTGGGAAGTGGTACGCAGATGGGACCCTCTGGAGAGTGCCCCTTAACCCCAATAAAAACTGAGTTCACAAAAAACTGAGTTGTAAGACCTGCTCTCCCATGGGGTTGCTTCCTCCGCTCTTCCTCTCTCTCTTTCAATAAACTCTGCTATCCTGTTACTGCCCCTTAAAATGGTAAACAGAGGGCTTGCCTAAGAAGCCCGTGCAATGAATGATGGCTTCATGGCTTGCTTCCTTCATGCAGGGTGGGAGCACGGCTGCAGTCAGATGATCCAGCTCCTTGCTTTCTCAGCAAGTGATTAGTGGCTCACAGCCTCAGTTTTCTCATCTGTTAAACAGGCATGGTCTTGATGGAACCTGCCATGTAGAATTTTTGCAAGGATTCCATGAGATAATGGAGGCAGAGCATGAGGCTCAGACCTGGCTGGACCATGGAAGCCCTCAGTGGCTATGATCACATCCCATGAGGAGAGGGACAAAGCCAGAGCCTCTGCTAGTCCCCTGGCACTAGCTTTTGAAAATTGGGCCAGAGAAATGGAAGCTGATAAATTGGGAAAAGGAAAGTAAAAGTGATGATCTGGTGGGTGAGAGGCAGTGAAAACCAGAGTGAAGAAAACGACCCGGGGGTGAACATCAGGGCTGGTGAGCTGGCCCTGTGGGCTGCAGCTCCAGCTCAGGGCCAAGAGCGTCAGCAGGCTGTCTGAGGAAATTGCCCTTTTGTTCAAAAAATCCTTAAAAAAAAAAAAAAATTTTTTTTGTTCTGTTTTTGGTTTGTTTTGCTTTCCACTTAAAATAAGGAGCTTTCCCTTTACAAAGGTTCTTTTTGTTCTAAATCAGGCTCTGAACAGAGGTGTCACTACCACAAGTGCCGGAAGCAGATACCACACCGGTGCTCAGCTGGGTCGCAGCTCGGCCCGGTTTCCTCCTCCGGGGAAGCCGCCGACAGCTTGCCCACAGCTGGCACAGTGTCACGCAGCCTGTGCCCGTCCCCAGCCCCAAAACTCCCAGGAAACTCTCAGGGTGCCCGGGCAGGAAGATGCTGACGTCAACCTATGCTTTGGGGACTTCAAACAAGACTTTGAGAAATGAGTGCTTTGCCTTTTGCTGGGTAACCTGAGAAACAGAGCTCTCTCTGGGGAGATGAATGGATTCACTTCAAGGGGCTCATTTGATCAATACTTATATATAGCTATAAAGTATATTTATATATATAGCTAATAGTATATTTTTGTATTTATATGTTCCATATTATTTTTATATTTTATAAATATGTAAATGTATACTTTTATAAATATATATGTATAAATATATTTTTTAAAAGACATGATTTTTCTTTTTTTTTTTTTTTTGATTTAAAAAGCATCATACTTGGGGCGGGCTGGGGTTGTGGCTCAACGATAGAGCGCTTGCCTAGCGCGTGTGAGGCCCTGGGTTTGATCCTCAACACCAATAAAAATAGATAAATAAAACAAAAGGGTATTTTAAAAAAATGCCTCATAGGGTCTGGAGATGTACCTCAATGGTTGAGTATTTGCCTAGCATTTATGAAGATCTGGGTTCATTCCCTAGCATCATAAACAAAAACCAAACCAGCCAAACAAAAAAGAACACCATCATAATAAAGTAAACTGAATCAACAAGGTCCCTCCCTCCCTGGGAAAGATCCTGCGTGGTTAGGATTTGGAAGGATTCATACAGACTTGGGCACATGGTTGTTGATTGGCACTGTCTATAAATAGTGCCTCTAAGATTCTTGGGGCTGAGGAAGCCATCAGTTTATTAAGGAAATTTAAATACTGCCACTTGAAATGTTTCTGAAAGGAATTCCCTCAGCAAAAGAAAACAGTCTATATTATGTCCTTTGTCTATATTATTTTTAATTCAAAATTACAGGTGTTGGAGTTTGGGTGGCTAATGATGACCAAGCAGCTCCCGCCCTCCTCTGTGTCCCACAGGCTGGTGTGAATGAGAGGCAGTCACTGTCCTCAGATGGCTTGCAGAAGTGAACAAGGGTTTGGTCTGCAAGTTCCACCAGCTTTCCTGAAATTCGAATCTCAGCACTTAGTGTGTGTCATCATGGTGGTGGTGTGTTTCTTTCCTGGTAGATGATGAGCTCCCAGGGGCCAGGGACTGGGTCTTACTCATCTCAATATCTCTAACCCTATCTCTTATGTAGTACTTGCTCAATAAATGTTTACAGAATGAATGAGTAAACTAAGGAGTGGACAAACAAATAAGCAGAAGTCCTGCCCCAAGCAATGGGCTGTCCCTAGTGGCCCTACTGCTTCCTCCTGCCATCTGTCTCATCACCCTGAATGTTGTCCCCACTGGTATAGCCATGCTCTCACTCCACACCTGGGAGGCACATACCTATCCTTGCCTTTGTTTTTTATTGCCGAGAGTATAGAAAGCAGCAGGCTTCTGAAGGAGGCATCTATTTTGGTCCCAAACAGAAAAGAGTGGGTGATTCCGTGGGCTGTGATGGCAATTCCTGAGCATGGTGTAGTGACTCATGCGGAGGGGTGTTCAGAATTTCCTCTGTTTTGCGGCCTGCTGGGGCAGCCGTGACTGTGAGGCTTTCTTTGAAGCATACTCAGATGCAAGGAAGACACCCCAAGCTGTCCTTTGAGGGTCAAAGGAGGACTGAACAGGGACAGAAGGATCCAGAAAACCCAGACTCCGCAGACCAGATGAAACCTGAGGAGTTCCTACAAGAGGCTGGGCACACCAGTAGATTGAGGAGCTGCCAATTATGACAATAGTGGCTGGGTTCTGGGGGCACAGACAACCTTGATTTCCACAGAGCCACAAAGAGGCAGCAAGACAGAACTGATTGCAAACTTTTTGTTTTTTTATGTCAACTTTTTAAAAGCAAAATCCAGAAGTCTTTCCTAATTATCCAGGTAGCACATTCTCATCACTTATGACATTCATCAGTTTTGCTCTTTATACTATGCATTATTTGATCAATATCTGATCTTTTCCAGATTGGTTTTCCCATTTTAAGCTCAGTTTCTGGGGCAGTAGAAGCAACACATGCTTCTGTTATGTCATAGCTTGCTACTCTGCGCACCAGCACGGGCTTCATATTGGAGCCTGTTTGACTCAGAATCTTGGGCGCCAGACCCATACCTCTCAAATCAGAATCTGCTTTATAAAAACATACCCAGGTGACTTGTAAATGCATTGAAGTTTGAGAAGTGCTGCTCTACTCTCAATGAATAGAAATAAAATCATGAAATTAGACCAACTGCAGGAATTATCATTTTGTTTCTTAAAGTGGGTAAGTTTCAATTTTAACTGCATCTTAAATCATTTAAGGAAGTTGAAACAAATGTTATTGTTACATCTTGTTCTCCCCAGAGAGATTGAGAGTCTGACTTTTCCACTCTTAATCAATCATGGACATCACTTTTTAGAACATCCCAGATGTGTAGCAGGTGCCTGGAACCATTGTCCCAAAGACATTTCCCAGTGGGACTTGTGTTCTCTAATTAATGCAGACAAATTCCGGAATAACCTTAAAATCAGCCAAAATAGACAAAGAAACTATCTGAGTAATGTTAGAGTAGAACATGGGTAAAATTCCCAGAGAATTTGGGGGAAAACAGTGAGTGACTTACTTGAAAACAAGTAAGTTCTGGGATTTGGTGGTGAGATGTGGACTCACTGGCAAATACTACTAGCCTTCCCTTGGTAGTCTTCCAGATGAGGATTGCTCAGCAGATGAGACATCTCCATGGTTAAATGATAAGCAGTTTGAAGACAAGGATTGTAACCTTTTCATCCCTGTAATTCTAGAGTGCTAATGGATAGACAAGGGGATATCATTGGTAATTAATGTGCAGGGGATATTGGGCTAGAATTTAAGAGGCGGGATTCTAGTGCAAGCTTTACTTGAACACACTTAGGCATGAAGGGCTTGTAGGTTTTTGAAGCCATTCATTGAATTAAAGTCTCCCTTCTTTTCTACAGTGAGTGTCTACATATAAAGAGAGGAGGGACAGGTTTTCACCTATGCAAAACCTCTCCCAGGAGAAACAAGGGCATTGATTAAGGGCAAAAATTCCCTTAAAGAGCCAACAGCCAAAGACCTCATTAATAGTTAGTGGTTTTGCCTTAACACCTACACTGCAGGGATACGGAAGCAGTGGGTCATGCTGCCGGGCAGGGCAGTGCCTCTGAAGAGCTGGAAATAACCTATAAGAAGATACCAGGCTTTAGTCTGTTGACACTTGAAGATCTCTCAAGCCTGACCCTGCTGGGTATGTTTTTGCTTGGGAAAAATTTTTTTTCATTTCCAAAAGTACCGCCATTTGAAAATGCCTTTTAAACAGAGCTTCTTTTTCCTTTCCGAATTCTTGATAGAGTGATGGAACTGAAAGGGAGTTTCTCAAAAAGGTTTCATTGGTCAACCTTTTCCTTTTATGGGGAGAAATTTGTCAAAAGACATGACTTTCACATGTCTTGGGTCCTCCAACAATGTCTCTGGGAGGCGCCTTACTCTACTTTCTATTTCCTACAAAATTTGCTTTCCTCCTAATTCTATTCCCTGCTGATCTCAGGTGACCACTCCTATTTTGTAAAGGAATTCTCTGTTTATTTGTAAGGTTTCTACTCATGCTTGGGCATGAGGGAGCAGGAAATTAACTTGAATGGCCAGTGTACTGAGGGCTAGCCTGCTTTAATGGTGCCTGTTGCTATCATGGGAATGGTTTCCACAAGAGATTGCTTGGAAGTATCCATAATACCCTATCTCTAGCCAGAGAGAATTGAAAAAATTTCATGTTTGAGACCAGTGGAATGGATTGGTAGAATGTATTAGCTATTCTTCATAAGCAACTCTCTGGACACGCCAGGGGAGTCAATTGTTTTGCACAGAATTGTAAAGTGAATTCTTTTCGATTCTCAGAGCTAAAATAGAGCATATGCATAGGTGATATGTCAAACTGCCTGTTTAAGACACACTCTTTTAAAGAAAGTTACTGGCTATTTTTATGAGTTAGTTCCAAAATGCTTAGCAAAGGCCTACCTCTCTAAGATCTTTTGAAGATGAACAAGGTAACAGTCACAATAATACTTTGGGATCCAGAGAAATGGAAGGATTAAATGTGAAGGCTTAAACATCTTGTGTTTTAATGACCAAGTCGAAGGTAGGAAATTCTAGCGTGGGCAGCAGTCTTTACAAGAAAGGGAATCAGACTAATATATTACCTTGATAGATTCCCGCACTCTTTTTTTTTTTTGTCTAGGGGATGAAGATTTGATCACAGAATTCCTAGAATGAAAAAAAGATGATCAAGGGACACATAAGCCCTCAGAATTTCCACAATTCTGAGAAAGGTAGCTTCAATAACGTGCTGTGTTGACAACATCAGGAGAATTCTCTTTTTAACCACATCCCAGGACCCAGTAATATAGAGATTAAAAACACCTAAGTTGACTAATACATCCCCTATACCTCATCACAATTTTAAATGGTGGTTTGGAAATTTTCAGAATGAAAATCTGCCTTATGAATCAGCTAGAAATTGCATCTGTTGACAGACTGATTTCGTTAGAGAACTCTGACTCCTGGGGAATAAAAAAGACTTCCTTATCCTAAGACCGAGTTCCTCTGGGAGGAAAACGTTTGAGATGAGATTCTTTCTTTCTCTGGAGTGGTTCCTGTGCTGTTTCTTGATTCCAAAATCTCAATTCATTTAATTCTTTTATGATGGGTTCTCATTAGCCTCTTGGTTGGACTATTTTGAAGAGACCCGTGTCCCTTCTCCCTGTACCTGATCTTCCTCCAATCTATGCCAGAGTCATTTCTGACCCTGTTTGCAGTGAACCAAAAGAGCACAAGCCGGGAGGCTGGGTTTGAGCCCTGGCCTTCTCATGGCCTGTGTAATACTGAGTTTTGAGTTCTTCTTCATCTATGGGTTCATGACATCCACAATGCAAAGTAGTTATAAGGATTACAAATAAGATGCAAATGTCTGGCATGAAGAAGTCACTCTATAAGTGATAATTTCTTTTCTAAAAATTTGCTTACCAAGTGAAATTCAAAGGCTTTGATGTGCTCTCCAAGGCTTTGGATCACCCCTTTGACCCTATCCTACTTTTTCAGTCTTGATTCCCAGCATCCTATCATCCCCGCCCAATTCAGGAAACATGGTGGACCCCTTGCTGTTCCCTAGTGCTCTGCTGTGTCTTTGCTCACTTGTCCTTTCTATATGGAATCTGTTACTGAAGTTCACCAGTCCCTCAGGGTCCTGTTGGCACTCCACCTTCATGAAGGCCTACTTCCGGCCCATATTCCCTTAAGGCTCACTACGGCCACTCTGGGCCTTTCTCCTTCCAACAAGGTTTATCTCCTAAGGATCAGGGCCATGTCAAGTTCACTACATGAGTAAAATTTCTGCCTACAGCACTGGAAAGGGCAGAAGAGGCATTAGATAGACTAATGGAGAATCAAGTGAATGAAAAAGTCAGCCTGATACTCTGCCACCAAGACCATTCTGATCCCCAGCTAAATCACCAGGGACTGGTAATGACACAAGTTTACTTGAAATGTGTTTCCCAGAGGCAGGGCGCAATTGATTGTGAAGATTTTGTTTTTCAGAGTGTGATTGACCTGGCAAGGACCCTTTTGAGGGACGAATCACAAAAGGGTTAAAATCATAACCCTTTAATTCCAAAGTGGGAAAATTCCTACCCTGGCTCAGTATGTTGCCCAACACAACATAATCACTTCCCCAAAGCAAGCAAACACACTCCTTGTATGTAGCATCATTTTTCTCTTCTTAACACATCTTCTGGCAATCATTTAGGATTCTATTTCTAGAAGTTTAGGACACGAAATTATATACTTTCAAAATATATGTATACTTTCTTATGTATCTTTCTGAGTTAGCAAGGAAAAATGTTATCAGAATTTTCACATTCAATTAGAAAGGGTGGTTTGAGCAATAAGTTGGTGGATTTTTAGTTCTCTAAAAAACTGAAAAAAACTAGGATGAGGAAGTTGAAAATTTTCACATATATATGCAGGCATATATACATATACACACACACACATATATATATATCGTATATATACAAATAGGAAAAAAGTAACGTATGTTTATATTTTCTAAAATTTCTACAAAATTTCACTTAAAAGAAGTTTCCTAGGTATTATTTCCTGAGGCAGTAAAAGCAAAGAAGCTAAATTTTTTTGAGTTCTTAAATTATTCCAGTGTTTCATTTATGAGTTACTGGTGTCTCAGGCAAATTAATCTGGATAAAGAGAGGTATAATAGCTTTTTTTCTTTTTTTTTTTTTTTGCAGGGGTCAGGGATATTGGGGATTGAACTCAGGGGCACTAAACCCCTGAGCCAAAACCCCAGCCCTATTTTGTATTTTATTTAGAAACAGGGTCTCACTGAGTTATTTAGCACCTTGCTTTTGCTGAGGCTGGCTTTGAACTCAACATCCTCCTGCCTCAGTCTCATGAGACGCTGTTATTACACGTGTGTGCCACCAAGCCTGGCTCTAATATTTTTTTTTTTTTTTTTTTTGGTTACCGGAGATTGAACCCAGGGCACTCAACCACTGAGCCACATCCCTAGCCCTTTTCTGTCTAACAGCTTTTTTTTTTAATTTTTATTTTTTTAGTTGTAGATGGACACAATATCTTTATTTTATCTATCTATTTTTTTAATGTGGTGTTGAGGGTTGAACCCAGTGCCTCAGACATGTGAGGCAAGCACCCTACCACTGAGCCACAACCCCAGCCCATTGCCTTTTAATATTATCTTACAGTGGGAAACTAAATTCATTGGAGAATAAAGAAAAATGTCCTGAGGAATTTGCTCATCAGTATCCTGTTAACATCCAAATATCATATCACTATTCTTCCCAGAACAGTCAAGAACTGTGAATGATTAGAGTCTCTTAGCATCCAAGCTTGCTTTATAAACCAGGGACCACCGAGGTGTAAAATGAGGTCCCAGTGGGCTGTAGACAAGAGGTAGAAAGCAAGGTTCCCTCCCTTCTTATAACTTTCTACTTGGTGTCCCCTCTGGCTCAGTGGCTGGGGAGAGGTGACATCTACTAGCCTTTTCAAGATGCCCATGGCCTCTTACCTGTCATGCTGCCAGGTACCATGATGAATGTGAATAATCCCCACATCAGCAAGCTTGGTTCCATCTTCCTGGCACTTGGGACCAACTCGGACAGTAAAGAGGAAGCGATTCTCTCCAGTGGGTCGGGTTGCCTGTCAGCAGCTTTCTCACATGGTGCTGGGAGGGTGCCTGAGCAAAGACTCATTCCTCTCGACCTGTCATCTTTGCTGGTCCAGCCAGTCTCTATTACAGCCAGGAGTTGCTCTCTTTAAGTATCAGACTGGTGTGTTCAGCCAGGAAATTGTGCTACCACTCTGTTCTCTGATCTCAAATATAGAAAGTGGCTTTTTTTTTTTTTGATGACAACAGAGTTTGTGGTAATTTTCAAACCAGGGTTTTTTTCAAGTTCAATTGCTGGGAGGTGTGGGCTGAGGTTGGTGAGAAGGATCAGGCTTCATTTATGAATCTTTCTTCAGCTTCACCTATAAAAGGAAAGGGAGATTCCCCTGCTGTTAAAGGAGGGGTGAGCAAGCACTTCTTGGCAGTGGTCTCATCTACTGTTTTGAAAACTAAGGCCCCCCTAGCCCTTACTTTGCAGGCAGGGGCCCCAGGGGATGGAGGGGCAATCACAGGAGAGCAGGGAAAGGCAGCCTTCACCATAGACGGGCATTTCCTAAAGTAGTCCAACCCTGAGTCTCTTTCAAAAGTCTAGCAGGCATTGGGGCTGGATCTTCAATATTCAGATCATGGAAAAGTAAGCAGTGGACTAATACTCAGAATTCATGAATAACCTCCTATGGCATATAATGGGTACCAGCCATAATCATTTCAACGTGGTGTCCAGGGTTCTTCAAAGTATGTTGTGGTTTTATAAGATATTTTGCCTTCAGATTTGTCTTTCTCTTAAAGGATCCTACTAGAAGTGATCTTAGCTTCTAAACTTTGGATTTTTTTTTAATTTGATCTTGCTTATTTATCAGAGCTCTGTTGTAGTTTTCATGATATGGTTGACTGTTTTGTGACCTAGAAATCTGTTCCCCTTGCCTATCATCTAGTTACAGTAAAAGATAATTTCTAGAGTATTAGAAAGCCAGGAAAGAAGGCATTGATAAAAGGAAGACCACCTGGGAAACAAAGGAATTCATGGTTGCAAGAGGGATTATCTCTGCCCATAACATTCCCTCAGAGACAAGACTTGGCATGGGGAATATTGGCCAAATTGTATTATATTGTGTGCATGTACAAATATGTAACAAAAAATTCCATCATTATGTACAACTATAATGCACAAAAAATATAAAAAGATAAAAATAAAAAGAGACTTGGCAGTCAGAAAATGAACTGAGTGGTTTCCAAGGTAAGTATCATAGTTTACAAGTTTAAAAAAAGTGAACTGTTTTCTTTCTGGGAATGGGGTGCTTATAAAAATGTGACAATATTCTCTTTTCAAAAGATTCCATGGGCTGGGATTGTGGCTCAGTGGCAGAGTGCTTGCCTCGCATGTATGAAGCACCGGATTCAATCCTCAGCTCCACATATAAATGAATAAATAGATAGATAGATAAAGGTATTGTGTCCATCTACAATTAAAAAAATAATAAGAAAAGATTCTAGACCAAGCATAATTTCATTACTAGGAGTATTTGCCACTGTGCAGGTGAATGTTTGGACTATAATTCCTATTATCTCCAGGGTCTGTCCCAGTTATTAAGATAAGAATTTTTGCTAGCAATAACTACTATCATGTAATTTTGAAAAAAAATTACTAAAAATTGAAAAAATAACACAATTAACTTTCCACCTAGACTGTTTGAAAGTAGTTGCCAATATTTTGTTCCATCACTCCTAAATACTTCAACATGGGTTCCTACAAACAAGGATATTCTTCAGAATCAAGACAACACAACCATCAAAATCAGGAAATAGCACTGATGTGCTACTACATCACTCAGTTCTTATAGTTAGGTTTCTCTAGTGTTTCAGTCATGTCCTTTGTAGCAAAAAGATTCAGTTCTGAATCACCAATTGCATATAGCTGGCATGCGTCTTTAACAATTTCTTTGTGTTTTCTTGACTCTTATGACCCTGACATTTTTAAGAATCATAGGCAAATTATTTTATAGGATATCCCAAAATTTGGGTTAGCTCTTTGTTTCTTCCTCACTGGATTCAGGTTAAGCCTCTCTGGCAGAGATAACACTAAATCCATGCTTGTCTTCTATCTCATCACCCATAATGTTCACTTTGACCACTTGATTATTTGGTGTGTTCTGGGTTTAAAATTACTCTTTTCTCCTTTGTAATAAACAAGCATTTTGTGAAATGATGTAAATATCCCATTATATGTCAGACTTTCACTTTGTTCATATTTATTTATATCCACATGGATTCATGCTCTTCTATTTCATTCATTGGGTTATACTTAATTACTCTCACTTATTTTAATGCTCAATTTATCTCTTATTTGTCCTTTGGGAGTCAATTCAAGCTGGTTTCTCTTTCCTTTTGACATGTCCCTGTTATTCTTTGAGTGCTTCCTTGCTTTGGGTGCATGGAAAGATTTTTCAGGTCCATTTTGTGTGTTCTCTGTCCCAGCCCTGGGAGTCAGCCATTTTTCTTTTTCCAACATGTTCTGGTACCTTTCAAAGAACTCTTTTTGGAAACCAAGCTCTGGGCATTGGATGTGTTCATTACTATAGGGGCAGCAACCACTCCTGGACTCTCCCTGTGGGCTGGGAATTTGTGTATGTCCAAACATGCACACAGACATTCACCTTTATGTCTATATTTACTTCTGTATTTATCTATAGAAGCTAAAATCCATGAATTCACACTGATACTTCCCAACACCCTCATTCCAATCTGACACCATAGGGTTGGATTTTTCAGTTTCTCCTTTTCTCCATGTATAACTCTCTTCCTTGACAGTTGGCTTCTGCTGTCCCTGGCATTTACTGCTATGCTCAATCCCTTTGTCTTCCCAATCTCATCTCTACACCAGCTCCTCTCCCACATGGGTTTCCTCTTATCCCTTCTCAGGTTTTGATTCCCTATGTTTGGTCAACTCCCAGACTCTGAAGGAATGGCCTCCTCACCTGGTCAGGGCCTGTTGCCCCTTGCCAGGCTAGCCACCTGCCCCCACATGGATGTCCTTCTGATCCTGTTTGGGTGCTGAATCCCTGTGTTGGGATGCCCCTGTTGAAAATGACCTCCTCAGCTGGTTTGAGCTCTGATTCCCTTACCTGACAGGCCTTATGCATTTATCCTGCTCACCCCACTTGGCTGTGCTAGCCCCTGTCTCTGTGGACTTCCTCTCACCCTCATCAGGTTCTGATGAACCCAGGAAGCTACTCCTTGTGGGGTACTTTCTTCACTCTGCATGGAGCCTGGCTGCATACTCTAGACCGTCTCCCCATGCAGACCCCTCCCTCCTACCCCTCTTCAGGCTGTTGACACCCTACTCTGAGTTACGTCCACCAGAATATCACAGAAGTCCCCTGGCTACATTCTGTTTGAAGTTTTAGGACTGAATTGTTCAGAAAAGGGGAGAGAAGGAAAGGCTAGTGACGACCATTCAGGAAGAATGCAGTGAAATGAAAAATGAGGCCAAAATTAAAAATCCAGACAGGCTCAGAGAATCAGCACACATGTTCATTGTAATGAAGAAGTCAACCAACCTGTATGTATGGCCAACAGCTTCTCATGTGTTTTAAATACTTTTTTTACTCTAGTAGGTTTTAGGGATGAGTATTTCTTATTGGAAAGTAATGATCAACTAATATTTTCACTAATACCTTTACTTTTTAAAAAAATCAGTTTCTTTTTCTTCTATTAAGTAAAATTAAATTCAATGCTTTTTATATTAAAATGTTTTTGAGGATCAAAGAAATATGAATCAGCACTTGTAAGTTATACTTTAATTAAATCACAAAAATTAACCACACATATTAATTCATTGCTATATAAAATAATCAAGATGAAACACAGTCTTTTTGCTTTTCGTCAGAATCTTCGTAAATCCCTCCTCATAATAAATATTCAAGTTACTTTCTTAAAAACCAAGTAATAAAATATTAGCTAACTAGATTAAATATCTTTAATTTTACATTTTTTATTTAAAAAATGACATACAAACCATTAAAATGAAAATAGTGATTTTCAGGGTATTTTGAATCATATAATTAATTTTTGTGGGTAATTTTTGCTGAGTTAGAACCTCAAATCAGAAGCCACAGTAGACAATCTTGACTTCCTATCCTACAAGGGTATATAGAGGAAAAAAGAAAAACACAAAATTTGCATACTGCTCAAGAAAAATTATCAGTTGATTTACTTTGAAATACCCATTTCTCAATTTTTAAAAAATTACACATTGAATTTTTAAATTTTCATTTTGAAGTAACAGGACTTGTTGCTTGATAAAGAGAGTCCCAGTTGGAAAACCATGTGAAATTTCTTTAGCCACAGAGCCAAGTCAACTATGATTGGATGATATAAATGTTGGGTGTTCATTAAACAGTAATTTTACAAGCAGATGATGAAATTGAAAGTCAATTTACACAATATGGACCAGAGACCAAAAAATAAACAACCACAATACATTATTTAGTGTGATGTAGGCTTCCAGCAGTCCAGCAAAATTGTCCTTTCTCTCTTGTTGAACACATGAACAGGATTCATTTCATGGCGTCCCACAGCTAAGTGGATTCTTGAAATGGAATTCTTGCCAAGTAACATTAGTGGAAGTGGTGTTTAGCACATCTGTGGAAGTTTAAGTAAGCAAGAAAGACCCAGCTCTACTAGTAAAATATCAGAAAAAATATCCTTAAGTATTATACTGCCTGTAATCATAGAATACTAAATTAATCTTAATGAAAATATTTGTTTAAATCACAAGGCTCCCACAATTTTTCAAAATAAAAGAGGACCAGCTCCTGGAGCTGAGATGGACTGTTGCAAAACAAATAATCTAGTTGACTTTTAAAGTTTGCACTGTAGCTGAACTCAGTTCTAGTTTATTGACCTTAGGTTTTCTAGTTGATGCTTCACTGTACTATGCCAAGACCTAAGAGGGAGAGAGAAGAGGAAAAGAAAACAGATCCATTTTGCCATATATTGTACATCATCTCATACTGAAACTACATATCCAGTGGTCACTCAGTATCCATGGGGGTTTTGTTCCTGAACTCCATGTGGGCACCAAAATCTGCAGGTGCTTAAGTCCCTTATGTAAAATGACATGGCTTCTGCATGTAACTTATGCATATGCTTCCC